AAAGAACCTAAAATTAATTGGCGACTGCTCGGTATTCTCTGGTTAGTATTATTGACTACATATACAATTAAATTATAAATTATATATAGCCCGCATGCATTCTGTCTTTCTATAACTTTTATTTATATAATAAAAACAGTCACCGCGCTCCTTTCCAGAACATAAGGGAGTTCTTGTATCTAATGCCAGTTCGGGGTTTCTAACAATTTCATAAACAGTACCACTTCTCGAAATTAACTGCAACTTCAAAAGAGACGCCACAGTTGGGTGCGATTAATTCGTTATAAGGGTACATAAGTTCGACTCCAATTGCGTTTTAAATAAGTCTGAGCTACGCAATTTCAATGTTTTCGTGAAGAGTGTCGAAGCATACAAAATGAGTCACGTCGGTTAACAGCCCCAGCAATTTGTTATGCCGAGTTGTAATGCCGCCACAGCCAACGGATCTCAAATGCACATGCAGGGAATGAAATGATAAATTAAACATACATACTATTACATAGTAACTTACTTGAATTACTTTATAATAGAACTATGGAACACTAAGAAGGTCTATAACAAAGGCAGCTTTAAGTCCTACAATTAGAAAAGAATTACTAATGGCTTAATAATGGAGCAATAGTATTATATTTATCACTCATTAAGTTAACCTGTTAAAACAAAAACTTTTAGCTGCGCAGGATTCTTAGAATTGGTAGTGCTAACAGCAGTTATCACTAAGGTTTTTGCCTTAGGGTTCAAGGGCTCTATCTGACCAATTCTAAGAAGAGTAGGCCTTAGTAGGCAATGTCCAGTGACCGAGTAAGCTCAAAAATGGGAATAGAAACCGCTAGGATAACATAAACAGTGGAACTAGTATAGGAATGCTCCGAAAGTTAGATAGGCCTGTTCAAACATAGAGAAGATGTCATCTACCGAAGGACTTTAGATGCCATGGCGGTTTTGTTGAAACGTGCGTCTATTAATTTATGTCTATGGATGTAAATGGAGGATAGCACACCCCATAGGAGAGTATTTATTTTTTCTTGCTGCTTTCCTGCGTGGAATGTGTTCTAGTACAAACGGAGAGCCTAGTTACTTTGTATTAAATATATTGCCCAAAATATATTTTTACATTTATTTCTAATTTGGGTATATATGTATTTCCGCTTTTACAGCCATTACCTGTGATAATGCCATTCTAGGAATAACAGTTTTACCAATTTTAATAGGAGATATTTCTACCGCAGTCATCGCACTTAAAATTAGCCTCAGTATATACAAAACTTCAACTCAAAGCATGATCTCAGGTAGGTGCCATAACCATGATTTAGGGTTTTTATATTACAGGGGCCAAGAAGAGCAGCAAGAACTTAAAACTGAAATAAGTAGAGGGCGACAAGACCCAAGACAAAGTGAGTCTAGAATTAACCTAGATTGGCACCCACAGTAATTCACTATGCTTCGTCGCCGCTCTGGGGATTTCTTTGTGGAATACTAGCCATGAAGACGGCATATAAAAAGCCGATATTATTTGGTCATTCTACCATAGTAGCCTAGGAATGTTGAAAGGAATCCTCACTCTACTAAAAATGTACAAACTAGTATAAGAGCTTCGATTATAGCTATCAGGTCGGGCCTCCATTCAAAGCTCATACTACACCGCTGACATGAATCTTTAAAGGATCGCCGAATGGTATCTCGAGGGGTGACTAGAAAAAAACGGTTTCTTAACCCAAAAGGAATGACTAAAAAAAGAGCTTATGCTGCTCTCATACAAGATTGTTGGCACGCATAATGCTCCAACAGTATCTAAGAGAAATGTTAGTACCTAGAAAGGAAGCCTAGAGTAGGTGCTCTACAGAAGACAGATTTAAAAGCTTTAAGTGATTAAAAAGTTGAGGGCCGCGGAGACTATAGTAAATATTAGATAACAACTGTTTTACGGGTTCCTCGGTAAACCAATCTTTAAAGCTTAACACGCTAATACTTGCTTCGATGCACCTTTAGATTGAAAGACCGCAAGTACTAATAATATAGTTTATGACTATTGCCCAAGGGCACAAAATATATATAAGAATTATGGTATTTTTCTCCTACTGGTCCTTCTTTGACTTATAGCTGGTCGTCTTCAGGGTTTAATAATCGATTAAAACTCAAATTAAAACCGATACCAACACAAATCAAAATCAAAATCTGAAGGATTGCTAACAACACTTAAAGGGTTTTATAAAAATAATTCCACTATTGTATTGGTCTCACAAGGGATCAAACACGTAAAATAACATTATTGTATCAGACATATAAGTTGCAATACTTTAAAGGACACTAACCAATCATCAGTTAACTCAACATCCCGATACTCGCTTACATACTAGAGTAGTAAATTACTAAGATTACTAAGTCAAAGCTAGTCAGAAAGCTCCAAGGGATGAAGCCAATAATGCCATTACTATCACGGCAATCTCAAACTACGAGTCGTGAGAAGTGACCCTATAGCTTTGGAACGCACCTAGTTAATACTAATTAGTGCTTTTTAGAACTCGGTACCTTAATAAATTAATTTTTTCCTCCTTAAGTTGGGCGTGCACTTTATGCGTGGTGGGAAGTCTAACAATACTTAAGTTAGCTAGTTAGCCCTATGTTGAATTAGTTTCCAAAGCTATTAAATTTTTATGATGTACCATTTGTTAGATACATACCAAGACAAGTCTTTAAATGATTTCGTACAACCTTATCGCGTTGATCTAAGCGTGAAAGGTTTTACTCTGGTAGAATTAAATTAAGTAACACCCGAAAAATGTTAATTTAGTTATCCTACTAGTCATGAAGCTTTAGATCTACCATTGTTAAAGTTCCAAAGTTTTAAAATGAAGTTGCTTACACTATGAAATAATAGACGGTTTTTAGCATCTAAAAAGTTTTAGACTAGATAAAACAAAAGATATTAGTGCAGAGGAATTAGTAGATTTAAAATTAGAACAAAAATTTAGACAATTTTTTTTTATAACTTGCTAAGATATGTAGTGACCTTAACTTGCACTTTTTAAGGCAAGAAATTATTTATAAGTTTGGGTTTTTCACTGCTTAGTCCAACCTGAATTAGTTTCATACTCCTCTCAGTTTTTTAATCAAATACTTCTATATAAGTTAACTTTAATTTACTAGACGCTTATAAGCAGGACATTTGCGTAGGACGCACAAAAGATAGTAGTTTCAAAAGGTTTTTAAATACATCAAAAACCACACTTTTTAAGGCTTATATTAGTCAAGCATTAATACAATGAGATTAATTAAAGAAATAAAGATTTTCGGTGGAAGCAATAGCAAAAGCAAGAATTACCCGCTTTTTTTTATAATGTTTTCAACTTTAAGTTTACCAAAGCAACTCTCCGAAGGCTTGAATATACTATTTAACTTATGGACCTTTTTGAGCGAGGTACCGAAATTGTTTAGATAAGCTTTACTATATATTTTTGTAAAAAGGTAGTTAAGATCTAAGGTGTTGAGTGAGATATTAATAATTGCGACTATTAGTATGCTCGTTAGTTACTTTACTCAATAAAGATTAAATATATATATATTTAATATAAATGAGGACAATCTCAAGTTCAACTTAGCAAAACCTTTTTACGGGAACTATTTTGCAAATCAGTCAACTTTATCTTTTTGGTGAGAAATCTCACTATTGTTAGCTTTGTTAGCATTTTACTGGAAGAGAAAGGTTCAGCGGAAGATTCAAGTTTTTGTCCGTTTATTTAGATTCTATTAAACTTTATTAATTAAGTTTAAAAGGAAATACTAGCTAATCTACTTGGTAGGTGCTTGGTTGATTTTTATTGGAACTTTTCGGACATTTTTCTTTGTGACTTCCACCAAGTTCAGTAAACTTTTTAACTTTTACAGAAACCCATCAACAGGCGTCTTCTTTTTAGGGCTGGTTACAATTTGTCCTCTTTCCACTTCCATGGTAAGCTTGCCTTCTTAGATTAATATTAATGACTATAATTTTTATTACTTAAAAAAAAAAAATGCAGTTTTGATTTAAAAAGAGCCCAAATAATGATGACTAAGAAAGCAAAAACCCAAAAGAATTTTCAGCACTTTCTTATTACTAAATGGTTTTTTTTTCATTACGCCTTCTTGCATTTGGTAAAGAGGACACTGTTGTTTTCATTTACTTCGCAAATCTCTGTATGGACTTGTTTTAACAGCCTCGGCTTTTTATCTCTCAGGAGTCCTCTTCGAATTAAAACATAAAAGTAAAAATGAATAAAAAATCATATATCCTGACGATGACTATTTATTAGAATTAACTTTCACAACTATACTTTTTTTAACTCGCCAGCATTCATATTTACTTCAAAAAATTTCGGGTTTCTTGCTAACTTGATAGAGATTTCATTCTTCTTTTATAATATACGAGCTTTTAAGTTTTTATATTTGTTAGGACTTTCAAGGCGATTACCGAGTGTTGGCTGACATTCAAGGGGAAGACACCCTTTAAAGTCGTTCAATTGCTGCACGACAAATTCACTGTTCGTCTATTAAAAGTCGACCACTCACCCATTGGTGGAGAGTACGTTAATTTACAGGTGTTATCAACTAATTTAGTTTTCGTTAATGGGTTAATTAGAGAAAAAGTTTACAAGGATTTATCTTCATATTTACATATTGTTATTTTATAGTAAAAAAAACTACTAATTTGAATTTTTATTATTGATTATTTTTATTTTTTAATATAAATTTATTGTTATTCTTATTTTAGTAAGAAAAATTTTATTTTTATAAGAAATTAAAGTTAGTAATAGCTTTAAGCGCCCTTAAACTTTATTAATAGTACCACTAGACAGAAGTTACCAATTTTTTAAGTTTTTGTCTAACTTAGTATTAACTATAAATTTACTTTAGTATAACTGAGATGTTTCACCAAAAATAACATGCTTTTCTTAATTCTTATGATTTTTATAACTTTTTTATACATGGTTTTCCTTTTCTAACTTTTTTTTAAATAAGTTATCAGCCTTTTTGATCTTCCATCAAGAATCTCTATTTAGCTCATCGATCTCCGCAGCATTTTCTTTCTATATAAAAAATTTTTTAACTAAAATTTTAAAATCGCGCTTAAATATTATTAGCGGAATGGGCGTCGGTGTTGTAGCGGGATTTATGCGAAGACAAGCCTTCAGGTAAACGTCGTCGAGCTGGATCCCCGATCGTTGATCTTGCTACCACTTACTTTTCTTTTTTTAAAAAGATGCCCCGTGCGAATTTAATATTACTTTTAATCTGGCTGAAAATATTATTACCAACAAAAAGTTCTGTTAGAATATATAGTGAAGATGCGGTAAAGTGGATTAGAAGGCCAGAAGCAGAAGCGAATCGTTATGACTTAATTCTCATGGTCTATTCTGGCGACTTGGTGCCTCCGAATTTATTCACTAGAGAATTTTTATCGGCTACCAGGGTTTGTTTAGTTTTGTTTTTAAAAATATGAATTTATAAAAGTTTAATAATTTTTATTAGGAAAAAGTTATGTTAATCTTTATAATTAAAAAAAATTAAATTATAGTAAAGATGCTAAAAACCATAAAAAATAAAATATTTATTTACAAATCTATCTTTTTATATGTTATTTCGTGAAAGACACTTTTTACTCAAGAGTCTTCTAAGCGACGAAGGAATTTTTTGCGTGAACTACTTCGGATTTGTGGAAGGAGAAAAAGTCGTTGATACACGTTTGCTTACCGCCGCACTCCTCTCTCTATATAAATTTGTGGTAAAAATAATCCGTCTTTGCTGTTATAAGAATTTTTTAAAAGGGTCAAACGTATTTATTAATCCCTATCACTCGATTTTAAAATTTATATATTTTTAATAGTAACAAAACCACCTTTATAATAAAACTTATACGAATTTGCGGAGGAGGGGTAATTTAACTTTAGATCCGGTTATTTTATGTTTATTTAAACAAGTCAACCTTGAAAAAAGATTTACTTCTAAAGAATTCAAATGTTTATTTGAAGGAAAGTTGGTTATATTTTTTACAACTCGTTAATAGCATTGTAACAAAGAAAACTAATCAAAAACAGACTATATTGTTAAAAAAAACTATACTAAACCGTTAACTTCTACTTTTAAGAAAAGCAGCACACTATTATAATAAAGATTAGCCTAAACAATAATCATTAATTAACGGTTTTATAGGATTTAATATTCCTCACCAATATGGAATTCTATCTATTTATCAGAGATGTTTTGGCGATGACATTTACAGGCGACTACTCCTTCAAATTATAACTGCTTGGCCTCGAATAAATTCATAAAGTTTCGAAAGTCCCATCACAATTTTTTAAACATTCACTCGATCGAGTTTCTTTAACTTTCTTTAGTTTATAAAAATATTTATTTCGTTTAAAGCCTTCTTGTAAGTAAGAATTTCACTGAGATTCTAACATTTCGTGCCGCTTAAATATTTTATTGTGTCAAAGGGTCTCGCAACTTCCGTTGAGCAGTACGAATTTCAAATCGCTAATGTTAGCGAAGGTCCTCGCACACACCTTTTTATGTTTTGAAATTTTTTTTTATATTATCACTGATAAAAGGATTGTTTACTTAATCTAAACATCTAGAAAAAATATAATTTTTAATTCATTCTTAAGAAACTTTATTATTATTATTTAGCAAAAGGAAAAAAGGTGAAACTTTTAACTTTAACAAAGTAAAGTTGCACTTTTAAGTTTATTTCATTTTCTTTTAATTATTTTTTAAAAAAAATTCATGTTTATTGATGTCAAGTAGATCAAAATTATCACTGAAGAAAATTGTAAGCGATTTTGGATAATTAAAAAAACAGCGCACTAAAATACTTCTTGTTAATGAAAAAACTGTTTTCCGTAAGTGACTTGTCTTAAAAAAATTGAACCCTTTTTTTAACAAAGTAAAAAAATTTAAAGTATATAGAAGACTTACAGGCGATTTAAATTTAAGTATTGTTTATTATGAGACAAAAGTTTTTAAGTTGAGAAGCTCCGCTCCTTATCTTTTTATGTATCATATTATTCTTGTTAACTTTTATTAAATAGATCCAAACTTATTGGGGCTCTCTAGCCTAAAGATTGTAATATATTGAATTTCCAGATATAATAAAATCTCTTTAGTATGCATTATTTTTTTCTAAAAAAGCTTCAACTGATACGTATTAAATACAGATTCAATTCTTTGATCTTCAGCTGACCGACCATCTACTTAAAATTTTAACTGGTCCTTGAACAAAAATTTTTACTGTTTTGCTATAAGAAAAATGTCATTCATAGCCAAAAATGAGAAAATATAAAACATCCCTATTCTTTCGCATAAAATACACTTAAGATTTAGCTACCTGATGAAAAGTAAAAGATTATACAGGATTAGTTTTCTTCTATGAGGAGTAAATTAAATTAAACTGTTTCACTAAAACCTATGGATCTGGGTAAATTAAACAAGTGCGCTTTAATTAAATCAAATTAAAACATAGTTAACCAAATGCAAATAGCCTAGCTGATCGCGAGTAAAAGACTACACCAAAAACAGAGGAACCAATATAGGAGGATGCCAGGGGTAGAAGTCACTGGTTGACTAAAGATTTTTGCTCTAAATTATATTTGCTTAGCGGTAATGGTTGGAAGCTTTCTAGTTTCGCGCAAGGTCGTGTACTCGATTCAAATAATAGCCAGGCTGACTGCGAATATTACAGATTACATAAAAATGGAGAGCCTTTCAAGGTGGATGAATAAAGAGATACCACTGGTTAAACAAACGGGGGGGCTTTGCTTTAGTGGTAATTGTTTAGTGGTTATTGGATTAAAATTTAACTTGCAACTTTTAAAATTTAAGATGCTATGTTATAAATGAATAAAAACTGCAGAGAAGAGTTACTACTCCTCCGTAAGCGTCATATTAAAGTGGTGTAGTATCGTTGAGTGATCTGCAGAGGTAAAGCGCTCCCTTTGTTACTTTCTAAGGCGTTTAATTGTGACTTTTTTATTTGATAATGTTTTAGAATAACAAATAACTTCATAGTTTATTGTAAACATATAGTTTTTGCAAAGAGTTTTTTTAATTAGAATTAAAATGTTTATAAAATATACTTAACGTACCATCAACACTAGTAAGTTTAGGATTTTGATAATTTTTAACCAATATTTAACTGTTGGATGTATTATATTCACTGTATATTTTTAACAGAGTAAACAAATTACACGGCGCAAATTCCCCTTTTATTAAATATTATTTCTTTCTTCCACTTATGTCTTCACCAAAGAAAAGAATAGAAACCGACGTAATGAAGCTGTAATAATGACTTTATTATCTTCGTGATAGTTTGAAAATTATAGTTTATCATTAGTTTTACATACTTTTTCATGACAACTTGTGCAATTTTTGTGTTTTTATTGTCTACTTGTTAGCATGATGGCAGACCACGATGTTAGTTTGGTTAACGACAACATGATGGAATTCTATGTTAAATTTTTGGGACCTAAAGACAGTAAAAACAACTATATTGAGATTATTTATAATCATCCTTCATCTACTACTATGCTCTAAAAAGATTTTGTTTTATATATAATAGATATAATTTTTTTTTTGTGTTTCCTTCTTCTCCACATAACGTATAATTTTAACTTGTATTTCTTAACTATTGAGCTCCTTATGAAGATGGTTGCTGGAAAGTTCGCTGCCAGCTATCGGAGGGCTACCCCTATCAGTCTCCTTCTATCGGCTTCGTAAATAAAATCTTTCATCCAAATATAGACGAGATGTAATCTATTATTTGAATTATTTTTGTACCTTGAAAATTTTTTTAGCATATAACTGAATTCTTGTTGTAATTTATTTTATCCGCTATTTCATGGTGTTTGTGTAAGTATACTCCCTTTTTAAAATAAACATCTGTCGTTTCCGTTATAAAATATTTTGTAAACAATCTCTTTGCGAAGTTTATAAACTTAAAGTTGTTTTAAAGGTCCGGCTCTGTTTGTCTTGATGTTATCAATCAAACTTGGAGCCCCATGTTCGGTTGCTTATTATTAACTTGCACAACAGTTTAAGTTATTTATGGTTTTTTGAGATTTTATCTTTAGTAAATAAAAGTTTAATTTTACTTTTTAACATTAACTTGAACCTTTTTATTAGCTCTTTTAAAAAATTAGGTTTAACCCGTAGGATTTATTATGCTATGGCTTTACTTTTTCATTATTTACTTTTCTTTTGTTAATATATATTTATTATACGTTTTACAACTTAAACATTTATAAATTTAAAGTAGTTTGCTTTAATATTATATGAATATAAGTTTTATCAAACCCCCTATTTAGCAACGCATCGAATTTAACTTATAAATTCAAAAGTGTATTAATAAAATGTACTCTACAATATAAAGTAGTGCAATCTTCAGACCTTTTTTTGATCGCCTGTAAGAATACTCCGTTCATCGAATTTTATGTTAAGAGGCGCGTAATTTATAGATTTTTTAAATTAGATTCGTAGAGATGCTCCTGTTTTATTAACGGTGAAATTTTTTTGGCGACAAACCTATATATAACATATATATATATAACTTGGATTTGAATTCGTTTCCATCTTTCCTTTCCTCTATCTCTTAGTTTTATTATCTACTCTTCGGTTAAAAGAAAACCCTTTGCTATCTACTATTTTTATTTTTAAAAACATTGTTATTTTACAATAAATTCCAATAGAAATTATATCGTTTTACTATATAGTAAACTGTTAAATTTTAATTATTTTAAGCATTTCTGTTATTTCATATGTTATAACAGATTTATTAAACATTTTTGATACTTTTCTTCCCCAACTTTTGATGTATCCAAATCCTACGGATCCTTTAAACGGCGAGGCGGCTTCCCTGCTCATGCGGGAACCGGAACAGTATAAAGCAAAAATCAAAGGTGCAAGAATATTTTATTTACTTAACTATTAGTGTTTTATAAAAGTTTTCTAATTTTATAAGCTAAAGGGTTATTTGTTTTATTATGAATCTAAATTTAATTCTATAAAGAATACGTTCGAAAATTTGCCACCAGGGAGGCATTGCTGGTGGCTGAAAAAAATCTTGCCGTCGCTAAATCTGAAGGATCTTCTAGTGAAAGTGAACTTAGCGAAGAATACTCGATAGAATCTTCCAGTTCTGATTCTTAAAAAGTTGTATAACGCGGATATTGCCACTAAAAAGATTATTATTGTCGTATAAAACAACTTTAATTCGAAAAGTCACTATAAGGAGTTGTACAAAAGTATTAATAAAGAGTTCAGTATTACTTTTGAATTAATTGTTCCAGTAGTTATGATTTTGTGGTGATCAGCGGAATAGTTAATAAGATTTTTTTTTCACTATAGCCTCTTTTTTTCCCCTAGGTTTGAGTACACCATAAAGCTTTTTTTGGTGCGTTTCTATTTGAGAGTTAAGATGTATATAAATTGTTTAAAGCTGTAATTTAGACCACTTTTAATAAGGTTATAAAAAAGTGAACCAGAGTGTATATTTCTGCTTTAGTAGAGGTTTTTTAAAAAAAAAAAATTTAAAACCAGGAACTTAACTAGTGGAGCAGACATAAACTGGCGAATGTGAGTTTTCTTCTATTAATTCTCGATTAAACTATTAGAGGGCATAGAAGCTTTTTTAAAATACTTAAAAAGATCCAATTAGGCAAGAACAGCCAAAAAGTAATCGAAAAATGCTTAAAAAGTGTGCAAACTCAATTTTGTTAATTTTGTTGTATAGATTTTTATAGTTACTTTGTTATAAATTTAACTTGAGGATTCAGGTATTCGGTTAATTACTATAAGTTTGTTGGAAATGAATTTTTATACGCCCTTATTATAAAATTTCATGGTTAAAGATGCTAAACAATGGATCTGTTATTCGTTTAGCTAGCTAGCTCCCTATAAAAAGCTTGTTTTTACTTTGCTATGATGAAGATTCCTCTCTAAAAGGAGTTTATTAATAAATTTTTTTTGTAGCACTAGATCATAAATTTTCTGATAACTCCCTGGGAATTTGTCGGCGTTCTGCTCTAATAAGTGATATGTACGAGTTACTTTACCGGAATATGTCTTATGTAAAGGAAAATATTGTCGTCTAGTTTTGTATCAATAACTTAAGGAAACCGTTAATAGAACAAGTCTTCTCGTTTAAGACAACTTAAAAGTTTGATAACATATATTTTCGATAAAAATAGTATACGCGCCAGCAAAAGTTGTAGGAAAAGCTTTTAATACTGTAGTGCAAAAAGTAGAAAAAATAGCTTGTATGGCAAGAGAAGAAAAAAAGAAGTTTATTGTACATCTGTGAGCTAATAGAAAGTTTTAAAACCCTAAATTCGTCAAACAATTATAAAGCATTATGAACTTCTCTAAGACTCAATTAATTTTCTATAGAACATCTTTATTTAGGCCTATGGATTAAAACAATGGCTATAAAATTCTACTTCTAAACCCAAAATACAAAACCTTTTATAAAAATGTGCTAAGGAATTCACTTTGCTCTTAATTGCTCCTTAGATGAGAGCCCTTTCTATTCGTCATAAACTTGCCTTTATATTGGTAACACTAATTTTTAATAGATTAGTAGCGTTAATAAATTTTTAAATAGCTCTAGATATGATGCATATCTGCAGATAACTTTTTTTCAAGAATTTTTGCAGATTAGTATTATTTGACCTCCTTTTACAACTGCCATAAGTTTATAAAATAAATTTTTTTAGCATTCACAATAATAAAAGAAATCTCTGTCCAACTAAAAAAGAGTTTTATTAATGTGTAATATAAAATATTTATCAATCCTGACTTTAACCTTAGTTTTTCGTTGTTAACAATAGCAAGCAAGTGGTTGACAAAAGTATAATAAAAGTCTTTCAATCTCTTCGGTTCTAATATTATTCATAGTAAGGCCAGCCAGCTCAATCTGGTAACAACCCAGGCAAAGAAGAAAAAAAAGTCTTTGCCCTTACTAGCCTTTACGCGCCTGTTACATGCTCAATATCTTTAGACAACTCTTCGAGACGTAAAATTTAAAGTAAATATTTATTATTCCGTTAAAAATCTCAATCCCGAATTCATGTTAAACCTTAAGCAAGTCAAAAGTTAAAGTTTAATAGCGTGATAAATTTGTGTAGTAATATGGCTAGATACTTTATTATGCTAATTTCTGCCTTTTCGATTTTGTGTGAGCTCTTTCTTTTTGACGGGGATTTAACATTTGTTGGTAACTGCTTTCAAATAATTAAAATCCTATACCACAAAAAAAATAAAAGTATGGCTACAGGTAAAGACCATAAGCTTAGTGGAAAAAATAATTACATTTTTTATCTATAATTTGTAACATGAAAAGTTCTGAGTGCTTAACTTATGCCCGAGCATAAGACCCTGGTCCTGCATTCTTGGGCCATAAGTTGTCCTCTCTATTAGTAAAATCAGCAGTATAACTGCTTGTAAGATAATCAAACCACTATTTAAATTTGAACAGCCAGGTGGTTAATCACCTAACAACTTAAGAAAAATACCTTGCAAAATTGAATGTTAAGTCCGCAGAATTGGCTCCCTAACAAAATTTAGATTGCAAAAGTGCCTACTTTATGTACTTCAAGCATACAATAGCAGTTTTTGTTTGTGTCCAAATAGTTGATGCGTTATTATCTCCTTTTTTGTTATTACTGCCGTAATTGTACATATTTAAAATAAAGAATGTCAATTAAACGTGTGATTAGAAATGTTTTTTTGGAACTAATTCCGTGATGACTTAAAAGTCAGCTAGAGCTACCAGTTGACCTTTAAAAAAGTAGAAGTCGAATGTTATATTAAACCCAGCGTTTTTTACCTTTAGAACGCTAAAGGTTCGTGTAAAAAAGAAACGAGATAATAACTAAATTATTGGGAGTTGTTCTTGAATCATTTACAGATTGTCCTTTAAAACGCTAGCGTAAATAGATAACCTAGAGTGCGGTTAAATTGCTTACCATAATATAATAATCAGATCGAACGACGCTCTTCTCACCTAAGTGGTAAGTCTGAAGTTAAGTTTGCCATTGATTTACTGTGCTAAAGCCATGGTTGACTTATATGGATATGAGGACATAGATTTCCATGCAAAAGTATAGTTGAGTAATACGTAGGATTTGTTGCACCATTATAACTTTACCAACTTATAATGAATTATTTATTCTACAAGAGACTTTCTAAATTTTCTTAAACAAGATAAATTATCCTTAAAAACCCTAGTTGGCAATGCAACCATCTGGGAGAGAAAAATTTTCGACAATACCTACTGCTTGGGTGCATGGTGTAGAGGTTGGGTAAATAGTTCAAATATATTAACTTTATCACTTAGGAAGGTTATTCACTTTATACTTTTATGAATGGTTTCTTTATAACTACCTAATTTCGTTAACGTGCTCTTTAATAATAAAACGCCTTTCTGATTGGGATACAAGAGGACTTGTATCTATTTTTAGTAACAGATTTTAAATCCTCCAAGTCTCATATTTTCGCTTTTTAATTGAACTAGTCTCCATCGCTTTTGATCTGGTCATTTTTATACGATGAGTGACTAATTATTCTCTTTCTTTACTAATATGTATATTATTTGTTTAAAATGAAGGATGAAAGTATTGCCGTAAAAAGATATAATTCTTTAGGAACCCATTTTCATAGTTATCTATCTTCTAACGAGGAATGTAATCAAAATTTGGTTTTCTGTTTGTTATTTTTAGAAAAGGAAATTGATTTAAAAGGTTACTTGCCTTTTATTCTGGAAACTACAGTTTTAATAAATTTGGTCTATAATAGATTTACAGAGGTTAATTTACGAAAAAGTTATATCGAAGTATGAACGTATAACGTCGGTAAATATATGTTATTGCAAGCCTACTAAAGCACACGGTTTTGAACATTCCTTTTTTCGAAAACTTCGCGAATCTGAAGTGGATTTGGATTGGCACGTTCAAACAATTACTGGTTAAACTTATATAAATTTTAAGTTAGTATATTTCTTGATAATAAGCTTTACTTGGTAGAGCATATTTCTTCTATTAAAGACGTAGTTAAATGGTTAGAAAAAAAAATACAGGAAAAGATGGACCGGTCAAAACCTTTGTGGAGGTTATATAAGGTTATTATTACTTGGCATGTATTTAATTTTTACGCTGTTAACGTTTTTTATCTCAAGGTACGGTAACGCAGTAAAATTTTAAGAGGTTTTAGTAATACTAAGTTTTTAGATTCCTCCTCTTAAAGACTGTGGACGCTGTTTGATTGTTGCCCAATTTTGTCACAGTTTAGGCAATCATATTTATAATAAGGAATCATTTTTGCTCAAATACTTGATTGGCAAGTATTTTTTAGTTATTAAAGTTATTTAAACAGGTGACGGAATAGCCTTACAGAAACTTCTCTTTTCTTTGGTGAATTCTGAAAATCTAGTAAATTATTTTAACATATATATAATAATTAGTAACTAACTTCTAGGTTTTTAGATTAAAAATTATGGAGCTCGAAATATTTTAAGAAGTGTCGGGAGTTTGCAAAAAATTAGCTTCATTCGAGTAGTTGTTCTACTTTTTAGTGGTCTTTGGGAGATTCCTCAGTTGTACTTAAAAAGAAAGGATGATTTTTTAAGGTTTCTTGTTATTTTTTAAAAAGATAAGTATAAATACCTGTTTCTTTAAAGATTTAGAAAAGAAAGGAAACTTCATTCCGGAAGAAAATGTATTTCTTTTTTGCAGGCTATTTCACTTGAAGAGTTGAGGGCGTTAAAGCTTAAACTACAATATGGTTTTTTTTTATTAAGATTTTTCATATATATATATATACCTACTTATAACTTATCAAGCCACCGTAAATGATATTCTATTGACCGTCCTTACACTGACTTTGAAAGCGTACATTACTGAAATTTGCGAAAAAGATTCCACTAACGGCCTTAAACTAGTTGCCTTAGTTTACACTTCTCCCTGTAAATTTTTTTCTAATTTTTATAAGGGTAGAACTCTTTTTAAAACGCGTTGTTGTTATCCCGTTAATATGAGAATGGCGACTGACGGTATGTATTACAGTTTTCTTATCTGGCCTCTAACCTCATAGCCATTTAAAAAGGAGACGCATTAAACAATAAAGTTTTCTTTGATTATTTTGAATTTCCTGTTTTCGCGCGCTCTCCACTGGATTGCTTTTGGAAGATAAAGCGAATAACAGGTTATTTGCCTTTTTTATCAACGTCAGTATTTCTCGTTACTTTTGTTAGACGGGAATAAGAGAAAGCTCCGAAGCGTGCTATATTATAATCTTTTAAATTTTCTTTTCAACCTCAATCTCCTTCGTATGAACTATCTTTTAAAAGTGTATTCCTTTTTACTGCAAAGATTTGCGTGCGCTTTGTCAAACGTGGCCGGTCCGCCTTCTCCTGTTTATTTAGATGGTAGCTCCGTAATTCCTGGTGTGCTTATATATTACGCTTCTTATTTCTAAACTTTTCAGGAATTTTAATCGAAGACATGCAGTTTATAACCGAGACGGACTTGGCTGTTTACTTTGGTATCTACAGCTACAACGGAAAAGTCTCAGGTATATATTCTGCCAGTTAAGTTTGCATTTTATAAACTTTTTGTAGGGACGGTTACGATGGACGCAGCTATTGAGCCGTATCCTGAGCGCCTTTGCAAGCACTGGAAGCCGCAATTTGATGCATTAAAGCGAAGCGTTGATGAGGCTTTAGAGAAACAAAAACCAGCGGACGACTTTCTTGCTTGTCCAGATTTCGTGTTTAAATCTTCCCTGCAAGAGAAAATTATATTCGCACTCATATCACTGATATTTTCCTCCTGGATTTACTTTTTGATTGGTTCAGCTGTTACTAAGCTTTAACATGCACGAAATTCAGCTGCCTACTACGCACAGCCGTAAGCGCTACTATGAAAAATAAATTACATACTTTGTTTTAAACTTTCTACTTAAAGATTGTTTATTTAAATCACTATTATCGTTACAAGGCATATAGAAGTAATAATTTGATTACGAGAGAAACTGCAGTCCATCCGCTTACCCCGAAGTTTTAAAAGCCGACAATTTCATTATATTTAATTGTTTATACCCTTTTTTGATGCTCGATCGAGTCATCAAACTTTGAACTTTTCAATGTTTATTGCCCGCAAGTACAGAATGGTCGTAGCTGGTCGAGCCATAACCTTGCAGTTTTGGCTGAAAGCCACAATATCAGTGAGTTGATAGAGTAATATCCTTAACCGCTTGGTATTTTTTTGTGTAGAATATTATTTAGTTATCTTTGATCCACAATGTCTTTTATTATATAATAGTTCAAGATAATATCTGGTTTATAAAACTATTTTCATCAGCCACTATGTTATATCTATGTTTTTTCGTTAGCAAGATAATAGTAGTTTTTTCAGAGAGAACATAAGATACTATAGTTATTTTCCTCTAGAAGCGAAAATGCTTGCGTGTGCTTTCTTTTATGTCGCTAATAGTAGTAATAGTGTACCGCAAAGTGTCATGTTCTTTTATCACAGTTCATCAGTAAGTTGCAAACTAATAAAGAAATTATTACTGGTTATATTAACCCTTTGTTACCATTATGTCAATAATGCCAGAAACGAAAATAAAAAGCGTCTTGTTTGGTAGAGATACCCTGAATTATGCAATGTAAGTTATAGCGCAGTTTTTCTAATATTGGCCTTTAGTAACTTAGCTTAACTTATCAGTATCTTAGGTTATTAAGTTTCATCTATATATTGTTAATTATTATGAGCGTGGGTACTGGATTCTGCAACGGTTTCAGTCTCGACTACCGTCTCGGTTTCAATCTTTTGAACAACAACCTTCCGTTACTACTTTTGCTACTTTTACTTGCATGAGTTACAGGAAAGCTATAAGACCCCAAGCAAAGAACCCATAAACACACAACATAAGGTAATCGAAGTTTTAGCACCTTGGGTAGCGCGTGTTCGTAGATATAACTTTAGAGCATCTAACTCGGCATAGGCAATAAAAAGTTATATAAAGTTTATTAAATTGGCTTGCCCCAGTATTAAAGTACTGAAACATTTTAGTTAAAAGTCCTCGTTAATACATATACATAATAAAATATTAATCTGCTCAGTCATACGCGCTCCTATTTCTAAAAGTGGATATTCTTTTTATAGACTCTTCCTAGTGCATATCCTTTACCCTCCCTAAACAACATTTAAATAACTTTCTCTATTATCTATTCAAAATTATATTTACCTATATTTTTTATAAACTTATTCAGTTGGTTTTAAAAAACCTGTGGTTACATTTAAGGAGCTACACGGAGAAAGGCCCAGCAGTAAGAGCATCCAACTTCAACGAAAGATACTATGAAAAGTCTAAAAATATAGCCCAACTGGATTGTTAAAAAAGAATTTTTGCTTCTCATGTTTTTCCCTTTCCTCTGAACTTGTTCTTATTTGCACTATTGTTTAAAATAATTTCAATTGTTTTGTATTTTTCAATTTATATAGAATACCTTTCGATAACACACAGTTAACTCCTACGTTCTAGCTACATTAACACTTGAACTATTCGGAGAGGTAGAAGCCTGCAAAGTTGAGAGATTATGAAAACAATTTTGCACGTAAATAAAATTTAATTCAGTAAACAAAGTTTTAATATTTAGTATAGCTCCCTTTTGTCACGGACACTGCTTGTACCCTCTTTGGCTTACTGGAAGTCAGATTCATTTATAAATGACAGTTCCTGATTCTCGCTCGAGTCAAAAAACTTCGAATATTCGAGCTCTCAATTAGAAGTGAAAGCTGTCATACCACAAAGTAGCTTTCAATCGGAAGGTGTCATTATTTTCTCGGCATTAACAGACAAAAACTCGCGCTTACGCGAGTCTCGTTGTCGGCGATAATGTGCTCCGTCCTATGACTCTTAAGTAAGTTCCCTCACCAGGAGGCGATTAGTGTGCCTGGCTAGCCTGTCGTAAAGGGCATAGGCATTACGTTGGGAGGCGATGTCTAAAGGGTCCAGCTGAAGGCCCCGGTGATAAGCTTCATTTCGCAAAAATTACGGAGCCTTAGTCATCACACAGCAATTTGTTCTGTCGTACTTGAAGTCCCGACGCTGTTGCAATGGAATCGTAGGTCCAAGCAGCAAACGCATATGTCTTTATAGGCTGGAATGTAAGACATATACAATTACTGTTTGTTTCACAGAGAAAGTTTGCTCTTACCGTATAGTAAAAGGTAAAGCGCATTAGTTGCTGCCTTGACTTTCGCAACTAGATAGTCCACGTGCGGCTGCCAGGAAAGTTTGTGGTTATTGATGCACCCGAGTATTTCGCTTGAGAACACCACGGAATCTTCTCGCCATCAAAGGTTAAGGGCGCCGACAGGGGGATGCATTCCTTATTAAAAGCGCTTTGTTCTTTAACGCTTTTATGGAAACTTTCCAATTATGGCACCATTCAGAAAAAGCGTTAAGATAGCGCTGTAGATGCTTGCATAGCAACTTCGACGATGAGTAAACGGCCGTACCATCGGCTTTGAGGGCTATTCGTGTGCGTGGATTTAATGGCAAGGGCCCATCGCTCATATAAATTGCAAAATAAATAGGGCGCAGGAAGGGGTGCATGAGGGACTCCTACTGTCAAAGACCGATCTCCCACGCGCGCTCTGAAAACGCGACCATTTAGTTATGATTTAGCACGTTGTAAAGGTCATGAGAAACGGATAACGAGCCCAATTTGTGCAGTAGACCTTCATGCCAAACTTGATCAATGCTTTTTCAACTTCAAGGAGGACATCGCTTGTTGCCTTCTTAACGTTAGAAGGGCGAGTGGTCCATTCAGTTAAGCAGAGGAGCTGCTGGGTCGTTGAGTGCCCTTACCGAAATCCAAACTGAAACTCCGGCAAGGCGTCCCGAGCGTCCACGAACTCTTTTAGAAGGCGCAGTAAAACGGTCTCACCCACTTTGCCGAACGCTGACAGGAGACTGTTGATTAAGGGGTTGATATTTGCTAGTTGCTGATTCCGGGTTTAAGTGTTTTTGGCAATGTCTACCATTTTCCAAAAGGCGCTAAGTGCTATCGCAAGTTTCGATAGCTGCTTGGACCTCGCCAAAATTAACTAGCTCAAGTGGTTCGTGGGCAATGTGCGACTATATGGTGCAGCTTGGTCTCCCATTTATTGTTAAAATGGGTCATTAGCTTCTTTCTTATGCACTTGTGCAGTCAATTAAGCATAAGTTTGTCTTTGGCGCCCCCGCAACAACACGGCCACCCGGCTAAGACATCGACGTTGGTATATAAGTGTCTATAGTTCTTCAGGCAACCGATCGGTGAGGTACGTTACTTCACGGGTGATCGTGGCAGTAGTGCGAGCCATCTTCAGTGCGCTTTCGAATAAGGCTACATCATCATCCAGCAGTGACGGACACGGAGGGAAAGTAATTTCTAAAAACTCAGCATATGTGTCCCAGTAGGTTAAAAAGCGGGTGATAGTCTTAGGTGGCTATCAGATTGTAGCAATGATCCGATGTTACAATTTTTCCATTCTGATTTTACACGTGTTCAAAGCTCGTTCAAGTTATCAGGTGCTGATTCGTATGATCCCATCTGCCTCTTCAAGATCCCCCTGCATGCTCAACGGGATTGAGATCAGGTGTTGTGGAGGCCATTCTAGCGCTTGGAGCGACTGTAATTAAAGCCGTGATCCCACCGATAATGCATTGTGACATGGAGCATTATCCCGCTGAAAAAAAACCATTTCACCAAGACCAAAGCCTTACCAATCGCATGTTCTTGGTAGATCATTCTCGATAATCTTTATATATTCCAACACCCTTAGGTGTTATACATGACCAAATCATAATCGTTCCTCCTCCAAGTTTAAACGTTTGCACCACTTATTGATCAAGTATCGATTATCGCTGGAACGCTACCCAACACCACTTGATACAATCTGAACCATATCTTGGTCTCATTAAAAAAAATTACTTTTCCCCAGTCAGAAATGGCCTAATCTTCGTACTTCTGGGCATACTCATCCTTAGTCGCTTGTGGGGGTTTTCAAAACGGGTTTTTAACTTTTTTTTCGCATGGAGCCCAGCAAATTGCAATGCTCTCGGCACGGCAGACCTTAAAACTGGTCTATTTTATTTATTTTCTTTAAAGTTTGAAGCTTTCTGTGCAATATCAAATGCACTCGGTGTCACTTGTCGTTCAAGTTGAGCTACATCACGGTTTTTTAAGATCCTTGGACGCCAGCTTCATAGAAAGGACGATATAGATCATATTGAGCGTTGATCCGGGATACCGTGACCTCACTGACACCACATTTAGGAGCGATTTCAGTATAAGGCTTGCCTTGATCTAGACGGCATTATATATCAGCTTCATTATCGACCAGAAGTTTCGCACTAAGTCACTTAAACGCTTTAAAAAAAACACTTATAATTGAGTGATTATGTAAAATTTCGAACGGAAATTAAACTAGGGGTCACGTGCAAAATCGTTTAAAACGGTACTTAAATTTCAAAAACTTAAGAAAGCAATTCCTTTGAAGCGAACCACATTATGTATATCTCATTTTAATCTTATATATATAAGGAATCAATATAACCAATTGATCAAAGCGTAATAAGGTTTTACCAAATTTTTTTTAACATGGACATACTTTTAAACGGTAGTGTACATTGCCTTTTTTATAAAAATAGGAAGGTGACCCACTCTCGAATGTTACGTTTAAACAAATAAACATAAAACGCAAGTTTGCTGGCTAGAAAATTAAAGAATAGAAGTTTAATAAATCTGCTATATTTAAGAGTAAGTCAAAGCACTTGGTAAAAGACTGCCAAAAGTTTAGCTAAAAACCTAATGTAAATGCTTTACGTGAATAAATGGGGGTAAAAATATAACTCCTTCTTTCAAAGTAACTCTGATGACGGGGTCATATTACTTTTTTTAATTGCTCTAAGTTTACCTAAACTACTTGCAGTCCTCGTTGCCACTAGTAGCCACTAAATATATATAGTGAAAACAGTAACCTTAAACCCTTAAAATAAAGAAGTTAAAAAAAGGAAAATTCGATTGACTAAATGAAATTTATCATAGTTCCATGAATAGTATTAATAACTATTAACTTAAAAAACAATTAGAGCAATACCAAAAAATAAGAAAAAAAAACTTGAGCAACAACACTAATTTTATTTTACAAATACAATATTATAATTATATGTGCAGTATGTTAACTTAAGCCTTCTTACATTTATACGAGTCCTAAAAGCTTATTAAAATGTAGAGAAAACGGTAGTGCCGACTTCTTAATAAATAAATAAAAATTTCCCGAAAAAGTCATTCCTTTTTACTATCAAATATTGAATTTTCCAGCTTGCTTGTAACTTTTTGGGCCAAACACTCCACCCAGGTAACGGGAGAGGATCCGATCTGATTACAAATCTCCGTCATAGCGATTCTTCCTATGATTTCAATTAAATTTATCGTTCATAGTAAAACGCTCAAGAGTTTTTAATTAAATATAAAATGATAAAACTCTTATATAAATAGCTTCTCTAATAAGTAATAGTAAAACTTTTAATCTCGATGTTAATTTCAAATGAATAATTAGTGGAAGAAAAAACTTTTAAACAAAAAAATAAATTTCAAAGATAGTCGATATAAAAAAATTAATCTAAACTAAAAAATTAAAATGAATTATCTACAATAAACACAAATCCATTACTTTTTACTGACCTCCACACAAAACAAATATATCATATATGTCAAAAGACTGTCAAATTATATATAATAAAATCCCTGAGTATAAAAATATGGGCAACAATACTACGAAAAATTAGAAATGTCCTACTAAATAATGAATCAAATTGGTTTTATATGCTATAACTCTTCAAAGAAAATAAGAAAAACACAACTTTAACAAAATAATAGAAAATGTTCCAATAAGAATAAAAATTTCTCGATATGCATCAAAGCGCACATATAATCTAATCCTTAAAAAAAAGGAATTTTAAAAATTATTTGATTGACGAGTTCAAATTAGTAAGAACGTCTAAAATAGTTGTTTATACAACTAACAAACAATTTTTAAAATTTTGAAAACCTGTGTTGGCGTTTTTTTTAAATTGTGTGACTAGTACAGATTCCACAACGCCCGAAAAAAATGGTGGTATGCCTCTAGTTTCAATTCGAACGTTTTGAAAAAAAAGAGCCTTTTTATATATATCACTGATATAAAAGATTATATTTATTAAACTCTGAAGCATAACATAGTCAAAGTAAACCTTGGATCGGGTGTGTACGTGCACGTTTCCTCGACGACCACCAAATTCGAAAAAGTAAGATTTTGTGAATAAATGATCATTCTCCTGTCCTTCAAGCTAACCGACGACACTTCACAAACGTAAGCCTTTTCTGTATCCCCTCCGAGAAAGCGAGCGAGAAAAGGATGAACCTATTAACAAGTAAACTATACTAATTTGTATACCGAGCTTAAACTGTTTAGATCATTTCAATCCTTTTTATTAACTTTTCTTGCATTAAGACAACAATTACTTTCCATGAATAAATTAAAGATTACGCATGTATTAGAAGCAAAAACAACTTTTATATTAATGTAAACCTTCTGCTCGCAACTTATTAATCGAGTAGAGACAACCTCGCTGGGAGTGCAGTTTCGGGCTATAACATCAACCGTTTTTACGTGCAAAGTATGTTTATTGGGATATTTTAGCCAGGAGCCAAGGGTAACTTTAGGCCAAGAATATGGGAAGACATAACTAGTTTGAAATTCCAATACCATGCTCGTCTAACTTGTAAACGCAAAAGCATTTATTTATGCAGTTATAATAGCTTAGACAGCCTAAAAAACAGGAAAGCTACTTTGATGCGGACCAAAAGCTATTACTTAACTATATCGCGATATCCCCACTTTTAAAAGTGTGACCACTATTCATGTATTTAGACTAAATTACACTGATTTAACGCATGCGTTAAGTACCATAAAACCTTTTTAAGTATAAAGTTCTCAAGAATTTTGACATACACTGGCTTCTAACTTGCTTGATATGGGTCGTTAGAAACACTATTAAAATTGCATTTCTCACCTCCATCTCTCATTTGAGGAAAAAATAATTCAATAAAGATTAAATCATATACGCTTAGGCCTCAGTTACTGGTTATGCCACTGAGGTGGGGATGCGCGTATGCAACCTTTTGAATACTTGACTGCCGCGAGGTACGCGTAGGTGATCCTTTAAAGAAACAGTCTAATGTCAACGGCGAGAGGTTGGGTTATTAATGGTAGCATTTTGCAGCTTGAGTTGCACCCCGACCGTTAATCATATCTTGTAACTTTCTTATTTGCTTTGTACATTCTTCATTGAACGTAAAATAAATGGCCGTCTCGTCTTGGTGTTATTTCCAAAGGGTTACCGATGGTTTCGATCTAGGTTACTCGAGGGGTTGTCATCCGGAGACGGGTTGCATGTTCAATGCAGGCTAATTCCCCTTTGTGCATTTCACCCTCTACCTTTCAAAAGGGTCAACTTTTTAATGAAGATTAAGTCCAAATTAACCTACATGTTCCTTCAAGATGCTGAGCAGCTCACAGGAATCAGTCCTTTAAAGATTTAATGTGACTCGACTGTTTTACTATTTCTTTTGCCGCACACCAATGTAAACCTTGAACCTTAACCGATAAGAAAGAATGTACGTAATCATAAACTGTAAAAAAATAAATTCGTGAAAAATAAGTTATAAACCCTTATATAATAAAAACCTATAACTTTAATTTTTTTTAAAGCTTTTAGAGCTTGGTATTAATCTCCTTTATAAAAGGGGTAGCAGAATTTCCCCTTTAAAAAATGAAGAGTTTTCCATTAGTATGTTTAGTTACCTTTAACGGTGGCCAAAGCTTGCTTACTATGAGAGAGTCATATTTTAA